CTAGTTGTAACTTATAAAATTTTGAAGTTACAATAGATAATAAATAAGTATTACATACTTGTTATATCATCTTTAATATAAATATATTACTTAACTAAAAAAAATAATAGATTCAAGCCTATTTCTTATCTGAAACATCTCATAATTTTAACTTCTCAAGATTAATATACATTAGAAAGAATTATTACAAATGATAAATATTTTATTTGTGATGAAATTATTATAAAACTTTAATTTAAGGTTGAAATATTTATATAAATAATAAACTATAAACTTAATAAGCTTGAATATTATTCAAAACTTTTAAAAATCATGTCTTTGCTTTCAAAAAAATATTATTTAGCTCAAGTGAAATAAATGAAAAAACATTACAAAAAAAACTGAAAAATTATAGTATTTTCAAATAAAACTATATTTTAAATATTTTAAAATATTATAATTATATTTTATAAAGATAAAATAAATATTTCACAGAAGAAAGTTCTAAAATATTCAAAGAAAATTCATATTTAAGATGTATTTTCTGTATATAAAATAATTGACTTTTATATATTTATTCAAAATATAAATGTAATATTTTATCATGAAATTTTAATTAATAATTTTTTTGAAAATATACATAAAATTATAAGGCTTTTAACAAGATAATAATTCAAAATAACAGATTATAAAAATAAAAATATTTATTTATCATCAGATTCTAAAACTTCTTGAATAGTCATTCTATAGCTCTAATTTTAATCTAATAAAAAATCTCTGGATAATTATCAAGAAAAAAATGAAGAAATAAGTTAATAAAATATTTTAAAAAGAAAAATCAATTAGTATTAGTTATTAATATAAATTAATTAAAAAGAAATAGAAGAATATTTTTGTGAATTTATATCTTAATCTGATAAAAAAATATCAGATCATATAAATAAGATAATTAAAAATAAGAAAAAAATAAACTATTAATATATATATATTTTTTGAATATCTATATTTAATTTATATTTTTGTAAAATCATAAGTTAAATAAATAAAATTTGCAATATTTATAATCATAATAATAATTCTTATTACTTATAATAATTACTATAATAAGTTTTTAGTAAATTATAATAAGTATTAATAAAAACTTCATGATTTATAAAAATTAATTAATAATATTTCAATATTAGATATTTTTACTTTAATTTTTAATAAGTTTGAATCTATTCAAGATATAAAAACTAGATAAAATTTAATATTTATAATTTTTAATTAACTTTTGTAATTAAAATATATTATCTAATTATTAATTACTATATTAGTAAAAAAAGATAGAAAAGAATTAAAATATTTATTTTTAAATCATAGTGAATAATAAATATTGAAAAATTTGATAAATTTATTAATAAAAATTCTTAACTAACATTAAATATAATATATTCTATTTTACAAAACTTACAGCTTATCTTTTAATAAAAAGTTATTAATAAATTAGTTTTGAAAGCTTGCAATATAATCAAAGAATTATTAGATTAATAATAAAAATAATATTAATAATATTAAATACTTTGTTACTTATTTTAATTTATGATTTAAAATATAAAATTTACCAATACAAAATAGAATAATATATATTTCCAAATATTAGAAGAAATGAAAGTAAAAAATAATAAATCTTTAATATCTATTCTGATAATATTTAAATAAATAAATTTATTCTTTGATAATAAGAATTTTCTCTTTAATATCTTTTAAAATGCAAATTTATAAATTTATATTACAAATTCTCTTTCTAATCCTCTTTATCAAAAAAAAATTCACTTGTGAAATGAAATAATATAAAAACTTTTTCACATCATATTAAACAAATACAAAAATATCTTTCTATTTCTACTATATCTGTTCCTTCTGAAAGACTTTTTCAGATACAGAAAATATAATAACTGAAAAATAAAATCATTTTTCTTCTGATATTATTCATGATATTTTGTTTTTAAAAATAATAGTAAGCTTTTCAATATTTATCCAGCACTTGAATTATAAGAAATATTAATAAATTACATATAATTTTGATATTTCCTTTTTTTGGGAGATCCTTAAAGCAAGGTAGACGACATTTTTTCAATATCTCTAATATCAAACTATATGTAAAATCTGACTCCGAACATTTTTATTTAGTGACTTTGAAGTGGTTGTCATAGTAAAATGTTGAGTTATTTACGATTCTTCGATTTTTTAAATGTTTATGTTACACATGATCTTGCGATTCGATTGGTCCAATTTGGCAAACTTGAAATTTGATTGGCTCATCTCCTCGTGACTTACCTTGCTTTTAAGGACCCCCCTTTTTTGGAAATTATACTAGACCGGCCAGACCGGCCAGACCGGCCCGGCCGACCTGGCTGATAAAATTATAACAACCGGGCTGGTCGATAAAAATATGGCAGCCCACATCACTGGGATTTATTACCTAATTTAGACTTTGCTTAATGTGGAATTTATTAGGGTTTTAAAGTAGACGTGGAGTTCCGTTTACATGTAATATGTTGTTTTTAAAACGAAGTCGCATAAATTTTAGAATCCAAGCTTTATCATTATTCCGTAATTATAATTAAAAAAGCAATACATATTAATAGTTTCAGTATTCCTATGTAACCATAAATTTATATTTTGTCACTAATTTAATTGATAAAGAATTTGAAAATCAACATGATAGAAATGCACGATTTTTAAGCTTGCCCTTTCAAGAAAACTACACTAACCTAAACTTTACACTTTCTAGAGATTTATATCGAGATGTGATGATTATCTTTCAGTCTTTCATTGCAGCACGGCCACGCTCGATATTTCCTTTAGACACCTGATAGACAGCCTCCTGAAGTTGCGCGCCCCGCTTCTTCTCAATAATTCCCAGCACATCCAACAAGTACACAGCAACCCTCAAAGCTATATAAGTTCCACCAGCAAACAACCCACCAATTGACGCCACAAACAACAAAAACCCAACAACTGGAAAGAACACCAAACCACCCAAAAACGCAAAGAATCCTTCCGCCATAAAAATCCCAATGCCGGCAATCCCCACAACTATGGCACAGGTGAGTACAATCCATCCGAGCAACACGAGTGCTGGAATAAAGGCAAATGTGCCGGTGATGCACACAAACCAACGAAAGAATGGGCTGTACTGCCATCTTTGCGAGATGATAGCCAGTACTTGTTGTGCGAGTTCACGTGGGTTGGTTGTGAGGGTTTTTAGAGTGCTTTTTGTGTTGCCAGTTATTCGTTTTACTTTATCGGCTACCGTACTGACTGATTCAATCATTTTGGAGGTCGTAGCTTCGACACGTGATTCTACTTCCGATCTACGTAGACCGCTTATTGGTGCTGTTTCTTCCTCCATAGTTATTATTTAGGAAACGTATGGAAATAATGAATGTGGGTTACAATCAAACTAAAATTTTAAACTAAAATTTTAAACGAAAAAGAATTTCAGTAAAACACACAATATTCTTTTTGAGAATGTAACTATATGTTTTTATATATTGTTGGAAGTACAGACCAAGACTCATTTATATAAACATTACTAAAAATCAGCCACACGATTTATATATCATCGTGATTTAATAAACATTTAAAATGTAATAATCATTTTTCAATCAAATTGTGCAATTGAGTATTTAATCTTTCAATCTAACAAACTTGTAATCTTTCATAATAAATTACATGTTATTCTTTATTATCATATGATTTATTTTATCGGTCTTCATGTTCAGCCACTCCTTTCATCATTCAAATCGTCAAGAACATTCCCACCACCAACTTCCCGCGAAACTAAGGGAATACTATTGTTACCATTTTCCCAATCATCCTGATTATATTGTCGAAAGAAAAACAGCAACGCACACCCAGAAATAAAAGTCATGAATGCTAGAATGACGTATATATAGATTGTATACGGGTCTTTTGATAGTGGAACTATGGTGAGTCCGAGAGCTGCACCAAGACCTGTTGTTCCGAGGTATAATGCTGTTACTATTGATTTCATTGAAGCTGGAGCCTGGGTCAAAATTAAATTTCAGTTTAGCCACAGAACGAAGATACGTATATAGTAAAATCAGAAAAAAAACCTTTTGAAATGCAAATTCGAGAGCAGATACACATGCGAAAGCTATAGAGAATGACGGATTCTTATCGATAAATGGTTATTTAAATTCAGAAAGCATTAATCTAGGGATAATAATACCTTCAGAGATAGCGGTGAGGATATAAGTAGGAGTCTGCCACCAAATACTAATATTATTGGGCATAATTTTTCCATCAACAATACAACGCGTTTGTTCATAACAAGGTCCTGTATTATAGATACCCATCTGAACTATTGCACTATAAGTCATCGCCAGCGTGGAAAACATGAACCCAATAAACATTCTCGTCACCGGACCGAACAAAATTTTCCGTTTCCTTAACGCGGGATAAAACCATCGATCGAGAATCGGGATCAAAATAATCAAAACGATCGGGTCGATATTGTTCATAATATCGTTTGGGATGATACCAGTTTGCATTGTTGCACCCTGCGAAATTAGATTGGTATGTAGTTGGTTGTAGGCAGCCCAGTAAACTGGATAGAATATAAACACCTGGCATGCTTTTACGGTGGATTGTAACTCGTCGATGAATTGGTCATCATATTTTATATTGTGATGTCGTCGTTCAAGAGGGGTCATGGCTGAAGGGCGAGCTTTGCTCAAGTTTCGCCCATTTGCTAATGCAATTCGAAGAGCTTTAGTCGCGTCGATAATGATCGATCCTTTTGGAGGCGTTTTTATATATTGATGTCTTCCTTGGAAAAATATTGAGATTGCTATCACAAAAACAATGAATGGAATTGAATATGCTAACCAAAAAGAATGATATTTTTCAACATTTGTTGTTATTATCGGCGACAGCGCTCCAATATTTATCGCAAGATAAAACCAATGGAATATCGACTGCACTGTAAGTTTCGGATCTATCACAACTTTCTCCCCTTTCTCCAATGTCTTTAAATAAGATTTCTTTTGTGGATATTGTTCTGCTACCATCGACGAAACATTCGATTTTATCCCTCCTGTTCCAAATCCTATTATGATCATTGCAAGAACCAGTCCTGGTAATGCGACTCCGGCATCAATTGAAGCTGGTAACGCCGAAAAAGTTAACACCGATAAGCCAATCATGTAAATACAACTGAAAATTAATATTGTCCTGTACTTTCCAAGATATTTATCAGCGATTATCGCGCCCAGAATTGGCGTAAGGTAACAGAAGAAACTAAAGAAAAGAGCAAGCGCTGTTGCTATACGTTGTCCTTTCCCTAATGCGCCAGGTTGTTCTCCCGGGTGTTTGGGTTTTGGGAATTGTATATAGTTTTGGAACGGACCAGATACACCATAATATGTGAATCTTTCACAAAGTTCACAGAGAACTATATACCAAGTGGCTAATGTATTATAATAGACATGAGTCCAGAATTTTAGGATTTCTAATAACTTAAAAGAGCGGCTTACCTGTTGGGATTCGATCACCCACCCTTTGAAAAGCTTCCCAATTTATATTATTCTCGTCAACCATATTTTCATTATCCATTCCTCGTATTTCCAACGGCACTTGTTCATCTAATACAAATTCTATTTCCCTATTTTTCTCAGAATCATAAGCATCAATATCAATCATTATGTATTATCGTTTTTAAAAATAACATTGATGCATTTTTCATTAAAATTACGGTTTGAAAATTACCCATCATCAACGCCACCACCATAAATTTTTGCATATTGCCAATAACGAAGCAATCGCATTGTTTGATTTTTTATGAACTCCATCGCCGATGTCTTCTTGAAATAAATAATTTTTCACGACGATTAAGATGATTATTGTTTTAGCTAACTTATAATTTTGTGTTGTGTATTGTGCGTAGATATATACTTTTGTGTTGGCACAAAGTCCATTTATGTGAATTAGATTAGAATCGAAAAAATCTCCGATTGAATACAAAAGAAACGAAAACGAAAAATTTTACGAAAAAATTTTAACTTCTCTAATATCAGTTAGTTCCTATACTCATTTTAAAGCTAGTAACCTAGAGAATGTCTTAACATTGCCATTCTAACGAAATTGAGTGATTTATATTAATTAGTG